TTCTAGTTCCATAAATTAGTTTGGTAACATGTATAGAATCATCTTACGCAAAACTTTTTTTTTCGTTCAATTTAAAGTCATAAAAAATATCTAATGTTTCATTTCATTTGAAAATTAGTTCACATCTATACTGACCAAAGACGTGAGCAAATCGACATTATTTTATTTTAATTGTAAATGACATTCTATATCTATGCGTTCATTGTTTTCTGATGTGTTAAGTTTAATATATATTGTGTTATCAGATGATATATTATCTCAAATAAACATCTTCTATAGAGATGCACAAATACAGATATTTTCTTTCGTTCTGTTCAATCGAAATAAAAATACAGTAAGCTTTTTTTTTTAAGTTTTTTTTTTCAATATGAAATATAATAAACATGATAATTATTTCTGTCTATTCATCTATTGTATAAATAAGGAAAGAAAAAACGGTAACAAATAAAGAATAAAAACACACAAGTATTATATTATAAAAAAGAATACAGCATATGTAAAAAAAAATTTTTTATCGCATTTTGCGCCATGCCCATGTTTCATTGATATTAATCTAAATAGACACATATATGATTAATCATAATAAAACGTTAATTATAGAAAAAAAAAACCTTTTTAATATTTTTTCGTTTTGAAATAGCTTGATCATCTCGATCTTCCATATCTGAATCACTATTAAATGAACTAATATCGCCGACTTGATTTCGTGATGCTGTTACATAAGTTGTAGCTGCTGGTCCACTGAGAATATTTGATCCGAGTATATTACCACCAGTATTTGGTCGATAAGCTATTGTATATACGGGATGATTAGAATTTTGAACCATGGCAGATGGTTGTCCCATATTGTAGTTTAATATATTAGCTGATTTCATCTATATTAAATAAATATTTTTTTTGAGATTAAAAAAAACAGTTAATATTTCTTACAGCTGCTTGAATATTTTCATCTCTAAATTGTTGTGTTTGTGGCATTATATATGACATTGGTTGTGTAGGATTATTTGATTGTGCATTTGGTGTTGACGATGCTTTTGGTTGTGATGCTGCCGATGGTTGAGGTTGTGGTTGAGATTGAGGTTGAGGTTGAGGTTGATAATAAGGAACTGGTATAGGAATAAATTGAGTTGGTTTTTGAGTATTATCAGGAGACATTATACTATCACGTGGACTACATGATCGTGAACGATGATTTGAATGACGATGAGAACGAGAATATGAACGAGAACGATGATGTGAAGAACGAGTTGTATATGGAAGTTCATCCATTTCTGTATTCTAAAATATATACATATTTTTGTTAAAAGATAAATGTTCTAAGACAAAAATTCAAAAAATATACTTCAGTCATATAATGTCGGGGATAATAAGGATCAAACTGAAAATATTTATAAATTAAAAAGCAAAAAATAACATTTTTTTTATCATATGATAACTTACATTTGAATGTGGATACATTGTTGGAGTACCCGGTCTTGAATATCCATAAAAACCAGATGGTGTTGGTTGATATCCTGGATTCATAACACCACCATAAGTTGGTGGAGGTGGATATGCCATTGGATTTTGTTGAGAATTATTTAAACCATGAATTTGATAACAAGCATGTGGATAATCTTGATAATGAAATGGTTGTTTTACAGCTGTTGTTGTATTGCTATATAAAAATAAAAATTCTATTTGAAAATATTTTTAAAATAGATAACTAACCCGTCAGATGGTGGCATTTTACAAACACTTCCATTAAATTTATCACCACTATGACTAAACATTCCATGTACACGCATATTATTTCGATAATCACACCAACTAAGCATGGATGCGACAGAAAAACATACAGAAGTTATTAAAGCTAATACAAGATTTGGCACTAATAACCACATGCCCCAACGACGAGGATTATCATTGCTGGATAATCGTAAACGTTCAACATAAACTAATGATTCATTTGCAAATACAGTTACACCAATTGTGATAAATAGAACTAAATATAATTGTAGAATAAAAAACAAGTAATTAAAATTGAGTCTTTCGAAATCTTAATAATTTTTAATAAACAATACGAATAAAAATTTCTTAGAATCGTGTTAATATTAATAATTACACAATTTGATTTTCATATTATTAGGACACGTGAGATGAAAAGACTTCATTAAGCGACTCTCACGTTGATGGTCATATCGTGTGATTGACGTGATGCGTGTGTTGATTACATACACGTGTATACACTGCATCAGTAGAGTATAGACGAACTACCTTCATTAAAAGAGAATTTGCAATATTAACTAGTTCAGTATAATATAGAATTAATTGATAATTAATCTCATTGTGAAAATTATTCAAAAAATTAGACGAAAAAAAAACAATGTTGTATTTATGATACAATCATAAGGTTAACTAGAAAAAGTTCATTATTCAAATTTCGATTTATCATATAAGACTATGAGATATTTGATTTCATCAATAAATAAATAATGAAATTTTATTTTTAATTACCCTATACGTCTATACATTCGAAAAGTTCATCTAAATCTTACTAAATACACGTCTATGTCTAAAATGAAATTTTTTTTAATCATTCGCTGTTCAACAAAAGTGATTAAATATATAAATAACTAACAAGATTTCGAAAGTTTTGAATATATCTTCTTTCTGTTAATTAAGTTTAAAAAATCTAATTCAATTTCATACTCACAATTTAAAAATGCAAATAATGCTGCGAAAAGTAAAGTAGTAACAAAAGCTCGTCGACACATAAAACCAATACAAGCTGTTAAAAGTGATAGACAACCTAATGATAAACCACATGGAACAAGTACTTGAGCAACACGTACAAAACCTGTCAAATAATAATAAAAATAAAAAAGAATTTTATTAGAATTTAGATTATACTTGGTGTATCTTTATTCCATAATAAACAAATAAAATCATTTGCATCGATTGAAAATACACATTTATACCAGAGACCAAATTTCTTGAACATCTTTAAACTTTCACTTGTTGAATTGGCATTTTTTATTCCATCATGTTCATAAAATTGAAGCCAATCAGGTACTGAAAAGGCAACCCATCCAAATACAAGACTAAATATTAGTAAACCAATACCAACAGATGTTAGTATTCGTGCTGGTATGATACGTTGATACATCTGATTGAGTGTTAAACGTTGGTTAACTTCGACAGTGGAGGATGCTTGTAAACGTCAGGCACGCTGTTAGAAAAGTAAATGATATCGTTCATGCATATCTTAATGTTTTACCATCAATGAATTTGAGCCCTTTAAATGTTAAGACTTAATGTGAACGATAACATCGAAACACATAAATGATTGATCAACGACGGGCTCAACTGTATTGTTGCTTCACTAACTTTGAATAGGAGAAAATTATAGGACACCGATAGATAAGATATATCTAATGGTCACACATAGTTGAACAGAGACCTGTTTTTTTCTTTCGTATTAAACAAACAGAAATGAGACAAAGAAAAAAGAAGAAGAAGAAGAAGAAGCTTTTTCTCCTCCTATTAGTCGCTTCTACGAATACGTATGTATAGATATGCTTATACAAATATTTGCCTAAGTAAGATGCGCCTTGTCGATTATCACACAAAAAACATTATTTTTTCTATTCTCTATTTTTAATTGTTGAATACGAGTGAGAGACGTAGATCAACAAGTAAGCAACTCGTGTGCTCTACTATTGAGCTCAATGAACCGTTGAACTTTTTGCTCACTTCACAATCGTCTATATATACATTCATCTTAATAATAAAAAAGCAATAGTAATAAATGAGATGAGTGAAAATCTCGAAATTGTTTATTTGCGCGTGTGAAAAAGATAACTACTTATTCAACAAGTCACAGTCACGACAAATCGATGATATGTTTTACCATATTCAATTTCATATGTGAATTTAAACAGTTTTTGTATAATATTGTGTCATCAATAGATAGATACTTTCTTTCTTTCTTTCTTTAATGTATATGTGAATATCGTATTTGATAGGTAATATAAAAATACAAATCTCAATATTTGTTTCAAATAAAGATATAAATCGTAAGAAACAGAAAGATGATAATTAGATAAAATATGACGCAGACTGACAGGAAAAGTGTGGTGAATGATTAGATAAATTAAATCTGATATTTATAGACACAAAATGATATGTTGTCTTAATAATTCTGATGAATTTATTTATAAAAAAAAGATCGCAATCCATTTATGTCTACGTATGACAATGAAACTAATTATGAATTTTTCAAAAAAAGGATCAGATTTCGTTTTTACAACGTAATCAATAATAGGACAATGCGTAATTTTTATTTTAGTAGAAATATTTGATATGACAAGTGGTGAGTTTGTATGTATTCAATGAATTTTATCTAGTGAGTGATATTCTATTTTACTTCAATATATGACTTTATCGTTTTTCTTTTTAATCTAATCCCAAAAGTGTGCATGCGTTTATGAAACGATCATATATTAATCTCTTTTGTCACAATAAACGTATCTCCGTTGTCAAAAGAAAACGGATGATTGACCTCGTATTCAATTGATTGTGTCATATGTTTTGCACTTTTTGACCATGATTAGATTACTTTTGTCATGAGAATTATTTCTTGATTTAGAATATATTTATTTCAATGTTTCAATTATAAGAAGAACAACAAAATATAAATAAATAAATAAATAGACTCAATTTTGACATATATAGACATCTGACTTAAATTAATCACAATAAACCAACATTTTCTGCTTTATTTAAAAGATTGAGAATCATTGTATGTGCTTGTTCTTGATCATCAATTGATTTTAATTTTTCTAATTCATTCCAAATTAAATCAACTGAATCCTAAACATAAGAATTTTATTTAATTATATTATATTTAAAAACAAAATTACATTTGAAGCAAATCCATGTCGAAGATTTTCTTTACCATTATTATTACTATTAAATTCTTCTAATTCTTGTGCTCGTTTTTTAGCAAATTCAATAACATGTTCAGGAAATTGTGCTAATTTTGCAACATGTATACTAAAATCAATGAATGTTTAGTTTGATCATTTTTATATAAAAAAATACAAACCCAAAGCTTTGATCACATACGCCAGGTTTTAATTTATAAAGTAAAACAAGTTGATCATTGATCGGTAAAGCATCGACATGAAAATTTTGAATAACATCTGGTTGTTCATGTTCAATTGATGTTAATTCATGAAAATGTGTAGCAAATAAACAAAAACATTTTATTGTTGTACAAATATAATGTGCAACAGCCCAAGCAAGACCAAATCCATCATATGTTGACTAGAGAGAAAGAACTTTTCAAGTGATCTAATTAGAATATAATTCACTTACTGTTCCTCGACCAAGTTCATCAATAATTAAAAGTGAATTGCTTGTTGCAATATCTAAAATTGTTGACATTTCTAACATTTCAGACATAAATGTTGAAACACCAAGAGATAAATCATCATTAGCACCAATTCGTGCAAGAATACAATCAACAATAGTTGTATGACAGGTTGTACATGGTACAAAACATCCGATTTGAGCCATTAATTGAATAACACCAACCTAACGAAAAATTATGATTTAATTAAACATTCATTTATTTTCAAATACCTGACGTATATATGTTGATTTTCCACCCATATTTGGACCTAAAAAACAATGCATTTAGTTTCTATTCTTTTTTTGCTTTTTATATAATAAAATCTCTACTTTCGTATTACGATGATAATATAAATTTACCTGTAATAATTTGAAATCGATGATTATTTCGATCTAATTCAACTGTATTCGAAATAAAATTAATATTATCTTGTTTTTCTACACATGGATGACGTGAATCGATAAGATTAATTTTTTGTTGTTCAGTAATTAATTTTGGTCGAATATAATTACCATTAACTGAAGCTGTTGCAAATGAAACAAGACAATCGAGTTGACCAAGAATTCTAAATATAATATAAATAGATCATAAAAGAGATTAACATGTTTATTATTACATTAGTATCTGTCAAAATCATATCGGATAAAAAGAAATTATTGATAGGCGATGTTATCAATTTCTATAGGACACTAAATATGATCAATAAACTTACCAATATAATAAAATGATTAGTATTTATATCGTAGTATAAATATATATCCATTGTTCTTTGATATCTATTTTTGAATCATCATATCAGTAGAAAAATCTGTATCTAACGCGTTATATTATTGTATGTCGATGTGAATATCTTCTATTTACATCCTCGAAAAGAAAATAATTATTGGGAAGATAAATGACCGTTATGCTTCAGTTCTTTTCTCTTCATGACTTCTTGCTTGTTGTTGACCTTTATGACATATATCTCTTATGAATGACTAATGTGTAACGATATGTTCATGATGATAGAGGCGTGATTACAAATGAGAAATTAGTTTAGTAAAGAAATTAACTTTGGAGTTACATTTTCAAAGACTCACTCACTATGCATTAATTTTTTTTTAAATTATCATATTGTTCACTTTCTCGCAAAGAAGAGTCTTGTAAACATAAATTATCTGCTTGATTGCTTTCCGTAAACTTTGAGCGAAGGGTAATCGAGATCGTGGAACACGAATCTGATGTTAGTTTTAAAAAAATTTTTTGAGGATCGTTTTTTTTTACACAGAGAACCACTTTTTTACAAAAAATTTTTTTTCTTTATAAGGGCTGACCGAATGTTAATCGGAATCGAGGAACACGAAATTTTTTTGATAATCATTTTGTAGACGAAGAGCAGTCTTTAGCTCTATTAGAGACACGATTTCTACAAGAAAGAGCTAAGCGAGTCTCCGTACGAGCGTAAATTGTAGAATAAACGAATTATAAATAGCACTGTTCAATTTTTTCCACTAGAAGATCATCGAATAAGAGAGATGCTTATTTTTATCAATAAAGTCTTAAAATAGGCAAAAAAAAGAACTTAATATTCTACATTATTTCAAAGAGATGATAGATGCAAAACTTGTGCTAAATATGTTAATTATTAAAAAATTATAACAAAGAAATATCTATTTACGCATTAATTAAGATCCAAATGCATTTCACATATTTTAAATGAAGTTCCGTAAAAGATCGACAGAGTATTCAGTAAAACATTGTCTTCTATTAATCGTTTTTATAGAGGCATAATGAACGTCAAAATAGATTAATAAATAATCATTCTCTCCGATAAAATTCATATAGACACAGGGGATGTTTGATCCAGTTCGTTTTCACTCTCTGATTTCATTTTACCAAAAGAAAGGACTTACTCTGCTAATTGACTAAGTGAATCACAATAACTTGATGCAATATTTAAGACATCATCAATAATTTCTTTTGATGCTTCATTATAAGTTGAACTAAGCATGGAATATTTCGTATTGAGTTCACCTAAACGTGTTGTTTGAAAAAATATGCCTTCTTTTTTTGTTACTTTTATTGTTATATTAGATAATTGTTTTTGTAAAGTTGCACTTTCTTTACGATTTATTCGATATAACCATCCACCTTGTTTTGGATCATAAACTAATCGTATGGGTTCTTTTGATGATTCAGCTCCATTTTTTTTAGAACGACTTGGTGTTGTTGATAAATGTGAAGATAATTTATTACATATTGTGGCTAAATCATCATGCATTTTTGATTCTAACTCAATTTGTTTCTCACGACATTCTGAAAAGACAACAAGAAGGTTTTTTAAAATATCAAAAAAAAAAGAGAATGATTTTTAAAAAACCTTGTAAATCTTTATCATAATTTGGTTTAATAACAAATTCATGATTTCCAATACGAGCCATATCAATAGTTGTTTCAATCATTTCAATATATTTACTAAAAACATCAATCATTTCCTAAAATAATTAACGTTAACAATTAAATTCCAATCAATTTTATCTTTTTAAATTACTCGAATTGGTACAACAATAAGATGATCAAGTACACCTTTCTTTGGTCCATTAAATTCGCCAATATATTCAATTAATTTAGGCATCTTATTAACAGCAACATAAATTTTATAACAATCCTAATTTATCAAAAAAATAATTATTGCAAAACAATTCGTTTTTTTTTTACTTCAAGATTTGCTTTCTTTCGAATAAATTTTCGTACAAGACGTTCAAAATCAG